GCCGTTCAGACGGAATTGATCCTGAGCCCCTGTCAGAGTGGACCCCCCCACACCGCCCCCCCCAACCCCAAGCCGGGTGCAGACGGACCAGCGAGGCGAAGCCAGTGCGCGCCCGCCCCCTCGTGGAAGGAGCCGAGCATTGCGCGCCCGAGAGCTCTGCCGCCTGCAGCGCTGGACCCGGCGCCAGCCTCCAGCGGAGCCGACCGGCCAGTGCCCGCGGCCCCAGCGGGCTGGGACTGGGGCGGGCGCGCGGGCTTGGGGCGGGAGTCTCTCTCCCCCCGGGTCCCTAAAAGGGTTCCGAAGGGAGTCGGGAGCGAGAGTCCGGACGCCTGGGTCTCCTGAGCGCCTCTCGGCGCCCACCCGGGACTTTCCCCACCTCCTCGAGGGGAAGCAGCTGGAGGAGCCGTCCGGTCGCAGGACAATGGAAGGAAACGCACTAGAAATCATATCCGCCCTTTCCCTTCCCCGCCCGGCCCGAGTGCCCCCGTGGGTAGGCCCGCTGGAGGAACGCGTCATCCACACCCCCCTCCGCCGTCTGGGACCCCGCTCTCGCCTCCCCAAACCTGGCGCCTCGTAGGACGGTCCTTTACGCCCCGTAACCGTACCCTGGACGGGGGGCCTCGCTGTGTCCACGCTCCTGTGACAGGCTCCCGGCACCCCTTCTTCCAAAGCCCACCCACCCACCTTCGCGGTGCCAGCTCCCCTACCCCCACAACCCAGTCCCCCCTACTTCCACTCCCGAGATCCCCAGCCCTCTCCCCAGTTCGAACGCCCCGTCCTCGGTGACCCAAGACCCCGTAGGTGACGACCACCCCGTGCCTCCGAGGCCCGCCCTGGAGCCGGAGACCCCGCCCCGGGCTCGCCATCTGGAGGGCGACGGAGGAAGGAAGGATACGGACCCAGGCGTTCACCCCACCTCCACCCCCCGCCCCCGACATCCCGGCCAGATAAAGGAGCCGAGGCCAAAAGGGGAGCGCGGCCCCACCCCCCGGAGAAGAGGAGCGGCAGCCCCTGCAGGACGGGGGTAAGGACTCAGGGTCCACGAAAAGGGCTGGTTTTTGTTGATGGTCGGGAGGCGGGGGCCCCAAATGTGGACTAAGCCAGGGACCCGGGACTAGACGGCAGTAGACTTCGTGGTTCGAGGGAGGGGACTTCGATGGGGATTTGGTGTGTGGACCGCAAGGCGCCTGGGGGGTGTCCAGGCAGGTGGGCACCTGAGACCGAGGGTTGCGGAGAAAGCCGAGGGGAGAGGAGTGGGGGATGGGGGGGGGCGCTGTAAAGGGCACGAGAGCGTCCAACCAAGAGGCGCTGCGCGGCCGGGGTCCCCCACGCTTCGCCATCGACCCC